GTGTAATCTCACATTGTGGAGCTGCTTCATTTAAATGAGGCCCCTCTCGGGGTCGTATGCCCTCCCTCTCTCTCTCTCTCTTGCTCAAACACCCCCCCCCACACACACATTCTGTATGCGTACACCGCTGGCTGTGGAGCTGGACGAGAATCAGATTCTGTGTCCAACAAAACGCAGTCCAGCCCCTCTGCTTTCCCATATTTCACATTTTTCACATCATTTGGCTGAAGGCTGAAGTTAATGAAGAAGCAGCATCTGCACACCAAACAGCAACATCCAGGGCTGAGACACGAAGCCAGTCAAAGGCAAAACCGCCAAAACAACAGTTCCTAAAATGGCCACTTGAGGCTGTCTCCAAAAGTGAGTCAATCCCCATAAAGCCCCATGTTAAAATGTCCCACTTTAAAGCTGATAAAACCTTTTAAAGGCTGGTATAAATAACTTATTTCTCTCAAAGTACTGGGTAACTTCCTATATAACTCTCCTGCTGACTATATATAATGTCTTAAAGTTATTCATAAGTAGGGGCGTGGTCTCTTTGAGTGACAGGCGGGAGCTGCTCTCTGTCACCTCAGCTGATTCAGTCACTGAACTTAAAGTCTTGGATGCGTTGGTGTTGTTGGGACCTTTTGGAGAGTTCATGCCACTATCAGTTGTGTTAGCTTGTTTAGTGTTTCTCGTGTGTGCATAGGTGTCAGGATTGTCTTTTCTTTTCTCCACAGAGCAGACGGTGGGCCTTGGTGGTTGTTCAACAGCTTTTTTTTAGGTTACCTGGTATATTTCGTTCACCTGCTGTCACCTACTCGGACTTCACCTCAAGTTTCTCCTGCCAAACCCCTAGTATTTTTTTTTTTTCAGGAGACTGAGACTGGGTTGGACTCAGTGTTTCTGAAGTCCTAGCTATGACCCTGTAACACTTCTGCAGGAAATCAGTTTGATGCTTGAATAAAGTGAGCGTCTCTTTAAGCTCTCAGATACTAAAAAAGGCCAAATGTCCAAGCAGAATAAATCAATGTTCAAACAGCGTAAACTTGATGAGCGTGATGTGTGCTGAAGTCGTATAATTAGCAGGGTCTGCAGGTACACGAGCTGTGCGGGTTTGAGCCCAGTAGAAGCAGAAGTATTAGAATGTTCTGGAGCTCCGTCAGCTGGCTGCAGGCCTGGCTCGCAGCGCGGGGGGCCTCGGCTGGACGGCTGCACACCACCGGAAGGCAAATCACATCACAGCCGGCGTCTGAGCGGCACACGATAAGGCTTCATTTCCATAAGTTTATTTCCTCCTGTTGTAAATGGCGGCTAAAACAAAAGGGCAGTTGATTATTTTCCCTTGATCAGTGTAGCATTCAAGGCGTCTGCTCTGACAATGAAATCCCTCACAGGGAGGAAGAGGAAGGCTGACGTGAATACAAGGCAGGCAGGACGCTGGATTCTGAGGTGGATCAGCCTGTCCAGACTCCACAAAGGACCCGCGAGACGAGACGGACGCACAAAGAGCTGAATGTGACAGTCCGTCCACTCGGCCGGCCACCGTCTCCAGAGATGACGAGCCGACCGCCAGCTCCTCCACCTCCACAAAAGCCTCCTTCAGCATTGTGCTCAATATTTGACACATTTGACACATTAGAGTCAGTTCACAGAGAAACGGCCTCACAGGGAATAGATTCATTTAAATACGGGGGGGGGGGGAGTAGTATGTCCATGTCTGTCTGGAATCCAGGCCTGCACTGCATGTATGCTTCTGTTTTAGTTGAACAAACATTTTCTTGAATTGAACTCTTGATGCTGAATTAACTGGACAAGTTGTTAAGTAGTGAAGTTTCCAACTGCAGGGGAAAATAACCTTTTCTTTTTCAGTGTGCTGTAAATGACTGAGCGAGTCGAGATGAGTGCCAGGGTCGGTCGAGGATTCTTTGGGTGTGTTTGCAAGTAGAAATCAAAATGCTGCCAGAGCGATGTTTGACCTTTCTTTAAATCTTTGATATGACTATCATATTAGAAATATTTTGTTTGCATCATCATTGACTGTCTATGAAGATGAAACAACGCCTCTCCCCCTCTCCTGTTGTACAGAAGGGAAGCCAAAATACCCCCCCCCCCATAACAGCACTGACATAGACTAGGAGTCAGAGTCTGTACGGTAGAGATCAGCCGGTGGAGCCATGACACTGACATCACGCGGCTAATCAAAACTCACATTTAACTTACCAGTGAAACGTCAAAGATCCCTCATTATTTATTCTAAAATGTCTGAATGAATGAATGTTCTGTGTGGAAGACATTTACAACACCATCTCAGCAGTACCTCACTTCGACACCTACCCTGCGGCGGGGGTGACAGACATGCACAGGGGCTTTAAATGATCAGTTTGGACGCACTTAAAAAACGAGAAAATCTAGTGAGAAAAAATGACAGTCATTCATTTGGCAAATTGGTACCGGAGGCCTTATGTTGCAGGAAGTGAAACAGCTTTTATGTCTGTTGGTTGAAATAATCTACATTAGACTTAGACTTTCTTTATTGTCATTCAAACTTGTACTTTACAGTGCAGATAAGAACGAAATTTCGTTGCATTTGGCTCGTTGTAGTGCAGGATAAAAACAGCAGCATGTATTTACATATAAAAAATAAAAATAAGGTGCAGATATAAATATATATAATAAGAAAAACTATGAGTAAAAGTACTATACAGTTAAATATATTGTACGTTATATTGTATTTTACAGTTTTACAGTATTTTATTGTACTTTACATGTACTTTTACATGCTGTAATCTCAAAACGTTTTGTACTTAATTTTCATTTAGAGCCAAATATGCAAAAACCATGTGGCCCAGGTTTAGCTATGAAACTATTTTTTCAGTCCTCCAACAAAAGTTTGCACGCCTCAGTTAGTAATGTGTGTTTGCATTCCTGTGTGAATAAAACAAAACATCTTTTATTCAGATCCAGTTTGAGGAGCGCACAGTGGAAATGTGTGTTTAACCTCTGAGTGTGCCTGATGTCAGCGGGGCTGATTGGCTGGATGAGAGGGCTCTGATTGGGGACAAGTCTGGCTAACTAGCCTCTAATTTAAAGGCCTGATTGATCGTGGGGGTGTGAATGCAGAGTGAAGGGCATGCTGAACTTTGAATGTCTTCATACAGCCACATGTCACACTAATGTGTGTGTGTGTGTGTTTGAGCAGCTGGATGCAGATTCAGTGTAGGCTATTCCATTATCTTCCTTTTCTTTGACAAACAGGGATTAGCATTTAGCACCAAGCTGCGTCTGAATGGAGAAACAGCAGCGTTGCTAAGAAGGCTGGGAAACAGAGGATTACAAGAGGCTTTTTGCTGCGTAATTTGATTTTAAAAGAGTCTTACCTTTGTTCTATGTGCCCAGTTAAGATGTGCTGGGAGGTTGAGATTAGCGGAGAATCCAGTTTGTGACAAAGCCGATTAACAGTTGAAACACGGCCAGCTCCGCTTTTCTCGTTGGAGAATCTGTATTTAAGAGTGACGGGTCGACTGTCAGGCAGGGAAATGTGTCTCCCTTTTTCCAAATTCATGCCAACATGTGATAAAAAAAAATAATTGTTTCTGTTTTACTGTAATACAGCTGCACCATAACTGTACTGCAGACAGGTAAAGGTTCATACTGGTATTAACAGAAGTCAGTTATTTCATCCATGAGTTGTGACGTTATGTTTGTTTCATCAGAAGAAAAAGTACTCCAGCATCATCCTCTGCTGTGGTCGTATACTGCCACCTGCTGGACAATCTCATCAATTTATCAACGCCTTTCACTGCAGGCAGCATCAGGTGTTAGAAACATCTCACCTTTTATTTTTCATTTCATAACACTGCCTCTGTTTTCAAGGTTCATTACAAAAACAAAATGTAAAAAAAAATGAGTCGTGTGAATTGTTGTAAATTCTACCGCTTAGGATGGTAAAGGGAAACAATACCTGCAGTGATTTTAATAGTAGAAGGCCCCTCCACAGATGGAGGTAGGTGCTTTCAGAGAAGGACCTTTAGACGTCAAAAATAATTCAAAAGATTTCCCCCCCCCCCCAAAGGCAGAATCCAAAGAAAGCACTAGAGCAAACGAGTCACTGAAGGCACATTCATTCAAGGCTCAAAGGACTAACGTTTCAAAGCACTGCGTCTTCCTCAGAGTCAAACAGTGCGGGTACCGATTTCAGACTCATCGCTCATTGGTTGGGAAGTGGGAGGTAAGCCGACAGTTAACTGATACTGTGACAGCACTCACATATAACATCCCGTCCCAAGTGTGATAATATTTACAATATTTATGAGGACTACCTTAATTCCTCATTGAGTCCTTATGGTTTACCATATATGGTATGCCAAGGTTTCTGCCTCCTAAAGGACGTTTTTCCTTTCCACTGTAACTTTGCTAAATGTTGCTTAGTGATGTACTCATGCTGGATTAATATTGTTGTTTTTTTGTAGATAATATGACAGTGAGGTCTTTTACCTGCTCTTGTAAAGTTTCTTGAGATAACGTCTGTTATGCATTAGATTTAAAAATAAAAAAGATTGACGGGGTTGAGGCTGCATGGGGAGTGGCTAATGGGGATCCAATTCAATTTGAATATAACTGGGGGTGGCAGAAGCTCCGTCTCTAGGGACTTGGTTTGAAAACCAGAGGGTTGCCGGTTTTAGGCCCAGTGCAGACAAAGTCTAGAATTTGGTCTGGTAGCTGGAGAGGTGCCACAGCTTGAGGCGCCCCTGAGCAAGGCACCAAACCCCCAACCAGCTCAGGAGCGCTCGCTGTGGGCCCCTCCCTCTGACATCCCTCCATTAGTGCACGGTCATAGGATCATGTTTGTGCCTGTGTGTGCGCATGTTCAACAACAGAGTGTAAAACTGAATTTCCCCTCGCAGGATTAGTCAAATATATCTTCTACCTAACTAAATGAATAAATGTAAAAAGTGAATGCGATAAAGTGATGACTTGCTTGAAAGCACAAACACCAAAAAAAAAAGTGGACAAAACAACCAATAGTTTTTTTTATTGCCATTGTGCATGATCTTTGACACCGCAGGTTACACAGGGAGTATCGTGTGGTGAGTCGATGAACACTCGGACCTGCATGTGATGTGCTCTGCTCGCTCTCAGGGCTGGTTTTGGATCTGTTGATGGCTTTAGCAACAATCTGCTTGCTGATCCAGCCGCCATGCTCAAAACCAAAGTAATGCAGGATGAGACGCTTGTGTCAAAGAACGGACAACATCCGGGAGGACAACACCTTTTTTTTTTTTTCTTTTTTTTTTTTAATCCCTATTATTGCACACATCTAGTTTACCAATGCCGAGTATATGTGGGACATTGGGAAAGCCACAGCTCTTGGTAAGGTGCTGAAACGTCTCAAGAAACCACAACATTGCATTGAGCCGCTTTTAAAAGCCACATATATACAAAATATGAATGAGCGTCAATGCAGGGAGTCCACAAGCACACCAGATACCAAAATAAATGTGGGTTATAGTTCACTCTTGCAAATGAAAGGTGTGGATCATTTACACTTGGGCGGGGGGGTCGATGCTCATTGACAGCCGAGAGGACGGTGTTCAGCGCAGAGTACATGAGATGTTTTTCGAGTATGAACAGACAGACAGTGAGAGGGAGGCAGGCAGGCAGGCCACTGTGGCCCTTTCATCTGTGAATCACAAACACATGAAGGCGCTGCGACCAAACGTCTCTCCGCTGCGGCGCGTCTCCGATCAAAAGGCTGAGAGATATTTTTAGGAGCGAAAGCATCGTGAGTCTATTTTCTGTCTCGGGTGCTAAACTCTTATGGAATGCTTTAAATGGAATAGCAACATTTGGATTATCAGAACAGTCTTTAAGTTGTTTTTTTTTTTTTAAAGTGCAGGTTGGAGTTTAAAGTTGTACAAACACTTTTCTTGATTGGCCCTGAAATAGTTTCTGTCTTGTGCAGCGAGTGTGTAGCTTCATGCACTGAACATACACAACACAACAAGAGAGCCGGGGTTAAATCAGAGTTCACGTGCAGAGACTGGAGGTGAACAGAGAGTGGTGCTGGTTCCTCCTGTCTCATTTAACCCCCTGTACAGCTTCATATCTGTGTTGTAATCCATCGTCTGCTCTGTGATTCTCCCCCCCTTCAATGTCAACATGTGAGCAGAGACGAGGTGAATCACAAGCCTCCAATGTAAAGAAGTATAAGACAATACGCGTATGAAGCAGGCAGGGTTGTTCATGTGCAACAAAGAAATATATCAGTGTACATCGAGTTGTAGTCCCTACATCGTGATACATATCCATTCTAATGCAGTCCTACATTTTGATCGTGGTGCACATATTTTCAATTTTAAATCTAGACTCTTAATTTCTTTTTACCACTAGGGGGCAGCAGAACAAGCTGAAAACACCAGATGAATACCCAGTTTCACTGTGGATATATTCTTGATTAAGTCAGTGTTTAAGTTGAATTCCTGTTTTTTTTAAACATAAGTTGGGGTCTACATGGCTCATACCTACAACCCTTTTTTATTTTTATTTTTTTAAAGTGGAGCAGGAAACAGAGGGAGAGGATGGACCTTTCTCATAATTGTGGGGTTTGAAGAGCAGGCTAGTGTTATTTAGTGTGGTCAAGTGTATTCGGCATAATATATGACCTCTAAGGTAAATGATGAAACTGCTTCTTTGGCCACAGAAATTAGGTTTGCATTCAGATTTTTTTTCCAGCTCATAAAAAGTGATTGTACAACTGAACCTCCAACCTGCACCGAACGCTTCAGTTTGATTGTTTCTTCACATGACGGTTCTGCAGGCTCGTCCACTTCTGGTCCACTATCAACAAATCACACACACCTTCTTCAAGCAAAAAAAAAAACAACAACAACAACAACAGCTGCATATCATCCAAGAGTCTGTCCAGCGTGTTTCAACACACACACACACACATACACACACACACACACACACACCCAGTGGTCAGTGCAATCAGTCACAGTGTGTGTGGCCCGTCCCGTCCCGTCCCGACCCGACCCCCACCACCGACCCTTCAGCCTCACACTCTGCTCTCAGACCGCACTCTGGAACTAAAGGAATGATTCGTCTGGGAATGAGAGAAACCAGGAAAACCAATGAAACCTGTTCTGCAGATCTTTGTATGGACACACACGCACACACACACACAAACACACACACACCAGATTACCTGAGTACACACTCTGATTGTGAAATTACCTGAAGCGCGCGGCCAGATGCAGACGCTGTGCAACCAAATATGCGGCCATTTTGACTTTTTTTTCCTCTTTTTTTTTGTCTCTTTAGAGCGGGTTTACCAATGACACCTTGATCGTGTAAACAGAATCCTGAATAGTACAGCTGTTCCTCCCGTTCGCTTTGTCGCACAGCAATACACGGTTTTGGATTTTCTTCTTTTGAAACGAGCATTTCTTTCTTTTCATAGAGATATATGTGTATATATACGTTTAGAGAGCTTATTCATACTGTGAATGTTGAAACTGAACACAATAACACATAATTTAATCAGAAATATACTACCAGTTTAAAATGCATGCCCCTCCCCCCATCCATAGTGCTCCGATGCCTGCACGTAACCATCAGCTCCTCCTCTGCCAACGACCGAACGCAGGACAAACAACGAGGTGGCGAGTCTTTGTAGTGGCGGTGGTGGTTGTTGGGACATTGTTGCTACGTCATGCAGAGATAGAAGGGGGGGGGGAGGGGGTCAGCACAGAGAGACAGAGCCCCCCCCCCCTCCCCAGCGGAGCAGAGGGAGGTGTTGGTGGGACAGTCAGTGGTGATGCTCGGTGGATCCCGAAGCCAGAGGCCAGCTCTGCTCAGGTCTAGCTGATGGCCGGGCTGTCTGTGGGGGGGTCTGAGGTCTCTGAGGGCGAGCCGGGCTCCTCCGGGGGGTCGTCTGTGCTGGTGCTCGTGGAGACCTGAGTCAGGGCGCCGTACAGCGACGTGGCCCCCTGCGGCTCCGTGTCGTCCTCGTCCTCCTCGGGTTGCGAGGCCGGGTTGAGGTGCAGGGAGCCGGGGAGTCTGACGGGGCAGAACGCCGAGCCCGTCGGGATGAAGTTGACCTTGTTTTTGTCGGGGCAGGAGAAGAGCGGGACCGACGCTGATGCTGACTGTCTGGAGCTGCGGAGAAACGAGCACAAGGTCAGTGAGGGGGTGCAGCGAGGTTACAGACCTGTAGACCCTCTAAATTCTAGAAAATTCCTGCAGGTCAATAAAAACTGGCAAAATAAAAAAGACAAGTTGTTTCTTTCATGAAACACAACTTTATCTTTGATTGGATATTTTTAGTCAGGCATTTATTTCTGAAGACTTTTGAAGCCTTGCAGAGTTTTTCTTCAGAGACCATGACACATTCTTCTCCCCCCCCCCCCCCCCCCCCCCCCCCCTTCTGTCCAACAAGGTCTACCAAGAACTTTGACTTTGTTGTCTGTTTTTTTTTTTTTTTTTTACACACTGGGAAGCATTGTGCTGAATGTAGAGCAGGCGCTCTGGGGTGCGATCAGGTTAAGTAAGTTGAACACACGCATCAAACAGTGTTTACCTCTGTTCGTCAAAAGCTTTAATCTTCTCACAGCCCTCTGGCGGCTCTCGCTTGAACATGTAGCTGTTGTTTGGTTTGGGCGAGGAGGCGAACTTGGGCAGAGGTGAGCTGCTTCCACTGTCTGAACACAGAGATAGAGAGAGAGAGAGAGAGACAGGCTGAAAGAAGTCTACATCAACAGATTGTAAAAAAAAATGATTCTGTAGCATTCTGAAGTCCATCACTCATCAGTGTAGAAATCAATTTAAGCTGTTCAACTGGAACAAATCTACCATCTACTTTTTCACTCTCTCTCTTCAACTGCATTCAAAGATAATCCTCAACATCTGGGGGTAACAGAGAAGGTCAAACATTGGACTCTGTTTACCTTTATCCCGGTCGTAGAGTAGTTCTTCTGTGGAGTAAGGACTGCCGTCATGTGATCCTGGGGGGCAGGCGGGCGAGGGGCAGGGCGACAGGCTGGAGCAGCTGCTGGACCGCCCGGGGGCTGAGGGGGTCTGGGTGTCCACGCTGCGGGTGCTGCTGCTGCGCTGCTGAGGCTGGAAGGGTGCCCTCCGGCCGTCAGGGACCTCCAGAGACTGCAGAGGAGGGAGCAGTGATCAGAGGTGAGACGAAATAAATTAAAAAAAACACACACAGGTTCACTGAAACGTCATGGAACAGAGCCCCACCTTCAGCTCCTCCTTCTCGCCGTTGTCTTTGATGAAGACCTTCTCCAGCTCGTGGTTGATGCCCTCCATGCTGCTGGGCACCCTGGAGATGGAGGGCTTTGGCACCGTGATGTTGGACAGCGGCATCTGAGCCGACTTCGACATGGAAAACTGCTGCAGAGGGACGACACGTGTGAAGTTACTTCTGATGCTAAACCAAACATTTTCTAACCGATAGCCCCGGCGGTTACGTCGCCCCCGCCCCTTGTACAGAGGCTATACTGTACAGGTAGTCCTCTTTTCAGCAGCTGTGGGTTCAAATCCCACCTGGGCGCTTTGCTGCATTTGCCTCCCAAAGTTTCCTGTCTCCCTTCAGCCGTCCTATCTAAAAAAAAATATCTTCTCCATATCCACTCAGGTCATCAGGTGGAGGTCTTTTAGCCGTACCCAGAATTAGATGAAAGTCCGGAGAGGGGGGGCCTTCAGTTGTTGTGGTCTCTAGAACAAACTACCTGCTGACATGAGGTCCATCACTACTGTCTCTACTTTTGGAGCAAAAAAACTCAAAGCCTCTATCTATTCTCCCAAAAATACCAATATGAATGTGTGTGAGTGTGTGTATACGATCACTTGAGTGGGTAGCTGGGTATTGATGTGTGCTTTGTGGTGTGCATGACTTTATTGATTTGATGCCTGTGTCTTATTCATGACTGTGGAAACATGTTTTTTTTGTTTTTATCATCGATGTAAAGCACACTGAGCTTACCTCTTATGAAATGGGATTTATAAATTCAACTGCTATTGCTAAATCTGCTCTGCCCCATTGAGGTCCTGAAAAAAAAAAAAAAAAGATAATAATTCTAGCAGGTGCACACTACCTGATAGAGGCTGCCTGTGGACGTGTGATTGGTGGGGCTGGTCAGGGCGCTGTAGGTGATGGTGGTGTACTGGAGGGGGGACAGGCGCTCTCTCTCTTTACTGTGACGTCCTCCTTGTTTGCCGCGCTGGAGCTGCTGCCGGAGCTTCGCGATCTGCAGGAAACACAAGAGGCAGAAACAGGGGATGTAAAGATGCATCAGCTGGGTGACAAAAGTTATCACATTATTTAACATTTAACTGTTTTATAAAGTGACACCAAACATGGTTACAGTAAACCTAAAAAAAAAAAATAAAAAAAAAATGGAGGGGCATTTCCTAACACTCTCCACCAGGTGTCACTGTTTCCACTGCAGCTGGCAGAGAGTACACATGCACCCCCTGCTCTCGCTGTTATTTCATTTTACCCTGGTTTTGCCTCGGACAAAGGCAAAATATATCAATCAGATTTTGTTTTCATTTGTCAAAGACTTTCAGCGTAATGGATTTGTACCTTACGTTGTAAATGTTTCTCAATCTGTTAAAGTCCCTCTGAAATCCAACAAACAAAAACAAACAAGGGGTGATAAGTGAAGAGTTTTCAGAGGGGAGATGAAACAACTCGCACAGTGTTACAAGCAGACTTCAAACTGTTGATGTGTTTACAGTGTCAGAGGAACTCCCAGTCCTCCTATGAACAGCCCTGCTGGAGAACATGTCTGTACATATCCCCTCACACACACTGTCCCTCCTCAGAAACACAACACATGCAGCACTTATCAATGCCGGCTCTGTGTGAACCGCCTGTTATGTGATCCTGATCTTTGGGCCTCTGAACCAGTCACACAGTGGAGTCCTGAACGGTTTTGTTTCCCTCGCAGCCTTCACTGAGGCCGTGCACTTCTCAGGTTTTCTCTCAGCTGCGAGAGCTCTGACCTGAAACTGCAGAGGGCTGAAACAAAAGTGTCTCAGCTCAATATTTTGATTTCATGCAATACTTTCTGAAGCTACAATCTGAACATTCAAACAGAAGAAAAAGTTCTTTTAAAGGGGACATGTGATGAAAAATCCACTTCTACAGTGTTTCTGAACATATATTTGGGTAACCCGAGTGTCTCCCGACCCAAAAGTGTGAAATGAACACATCCAGTCCTTTGTTTGTGCGCTGCATAAGTCTTGCAACACAGATCAGACACTCAAGGAACTGCAGGATTTTGCACTTCCACATCGTCTTAATTTATGAATACCTGAGGTGGGGGGGGGGTGGAGTCTGCAATGCCTATGACAAAACAGACAGAGCAGGTTTTCCATGACCATCCATGACCTCCAGTGACTGCCTACCAATTTTGACATCACTCAGACAGTTTTGTTGCATCGACTTTCATTGTCGGCCCTTTGTGTTCTGCTCGTGGACGTAGAAAGGACTAGCATTTGCTGGTTTTCCTCACTTCCATTTCCCTTCTTTTCCACTGATGGCTTAGCTAAGCAGTGAATACAGTGATTTACCTCACAGGCTCTTCCACTGCCCATGAAAAAGTGCTTAGGTCTCCAAAAAGCTGCAGACAATGGGCAGATTGAGCCAAAGGTGCCAGAAACACCACAAAAATTAGGGCCAATTAAACCACAGAAGGCTTGACATTTGATGTCAGCGTGCTGGTTCAGGGCTCTTAGACTTCCATCAGCACCTATAGGAGCCACTGCGCAGACAACAAAACTTCTCTGGCAGGACATCTTAAAATATGTAGAAGTTTTGCACATTCATGTCTGGTGTGTTTCTCAGCAGCAGCAGCTGCACAGTGTAGGTCTGCAGACCTCCCTTTTGCTCCAAGCAGCTTATCTATTGACATCTGTGGATTTGATGTCTCGGCTGCTCCTCCTCTGCAGCCCTGTAACTCAGTAACGTGGCTGTGCACACATTACCGAGCGCTGCTGAGCTGTCATTCGGCCGGCCCTCATTGTTTCCTCTGTCTGCTGCAGCAGGCAGAGAGGAGCCAGCTGGGGCTTGGCTGACCATAAATTGCACTGGGTTATGGTCGTTTCAAAGAGGGGAAGTGAGTAGTTAGGAGGGAGATAGCGTTATCTGCCACCTCCCTGCTGCTGCTACGCTGGAGCTGAGAGGGGCCGATAAGTGCCACGCTGGGTGCAGCTTCAGAGGACGCACGCGTGTGTCACTGCATGCACGCCTTCAGCGCCATAAAGACACAATACCAGACCTGTGATGTCACACGGGAGGTGACACAGCCCGAAGGAAACGTCAATAAGAATGTGCTTCAGTCGCTTTTATACAACAGTCGTTCCATCTTCATCAGCAATAGCATCAGGAGATGAGAAACGACTTCTTGAAATAACCTTGTTACAAATGTTTCTGAAAGTATGACATCAGTTTTAAAGAAGCTAATCATTGTGGGGCATCCCTTCTTGCACATGTTTCAGTTTCAAAGGTTTGAGCCTTACTGTTTTTAAAGGAGGCTGTAACAAATATAAAAAAGCTGCATCATGTCGAGTTAACGTTCACCTGAGAACATCGACACCACAATCAACAAAACATCCTCCAAGCAATGATAAGTTTCATATAAGAAAACACACTTTTCTTTTTGAGCTTTGACAATGTTGAACTCAGTCCAGATGCATTCTGCAGTTGTATGCGTATCTTATCCCTTTACAGCGACTCAGCACCTGCATTGATTAAGGATGTAACGATTCACTCAACTCACGATACGATACATGATACTGGGTTGAGGATACAATTCTCTCAGGATTTATTTTACTGAATAAGACTGTAGACAGATGATGAGTGAAAAAGATTCCTTTAGGAGCTGCAAACCCGCTTGTCATGGTGGTTTGGCCTTTTAATGTTTTTTTCTCTCTCAACAAGGGGAGGTGATTGAAGCTTCTCCTTGTGGTGTGGATTAAATGCTGCATCATGTTGGTTGTTCTATTTGTGTATTTCTCTGACAGCTTTTGTCTCGTCTGTTATCTTCTCACCTCTTTCATTTTCTGTCTTGGGGGAAGCCAAAATGCTTCCACAACCTCCGATTTAAAAGACGGTGGTGCGTCCTCAATTTCTAAATCTTGCTCTACAGCTGCTGACGCTCACCATATTACTGCGATTCATTTTTCAGAGTGCCGATGTGAATCCTGACACCTCTGAATCGATTTATCACGATTTTACAATTCATCTTTACACCCCTAGCATTGATTGGTAGCTAATTATTTTAGACCATGATGTCACAATAGACCATGAATCCAAAGATCACATGCATGGATCGACTGTGATCATTTGTTACTTGTGGTTGTTTTCGCAGTACGTTTTTTGAAAGACGCCACAAGACAATACAGAGACCACTTGAAAACAATTCCTGATGTGGGTGTCAGTGCCTGATGTCATACTGGGCTGCATGACCACCTCAAACTTTTGAGTTTTGGAGCATTTACCCATCAACACGGCAAAGAAAAACACCGCCTGCACTATCTGGACATCAAACTGAATAATCCAAAGTTACAGCAGCTCAGTGAGCTTTCTTACATTTTCAGTGTCAGACCTTAAAACCTCTTCCAGAGAACACTTCATCTCCTCTTAACAGTGGAGCAAACACTTGGATGTACAGAGAATAAATGCTAACTAAAGAGTTCAGGCTACATGTATCAGTATTAATATCAGTGTCATGCCTCTTTGAGCTGGTCGGCGCTGCCCCAGGACGCAGAGCGCTGGTGGGTGCTCCTCTTCTCTCCAGCCTCGTCACTCCAACATCCAGGAGTCTGAAAGAACATCACAGAAACACATTCATTTAAAGTAGATGGATCTGGGTGGTGAGTGGTTACTTTGTGCGCCCCATGTGCAGAGGCTGTTGTCCTCGGAGCAGACAGACGGGCCCCGGTTTGAATCTGACCTGTGGAAACTTTCCTGCATGTCATTCCCCACTCTCTCTCTCTCCCTCTGATTTCAGATTCTGTCCTATCTCTCCAATAAAGACATAAAAAGCCCAAAAATAAATCTTTCCAGTACAACTTTCTGGGGTGCTGCACACTTTGTTTTTACATACTTTATTATTTACTTCATACAATTATTATATTTATTATTACACTCTGTTATTGAGAGACATGGGGTTCGGTGCCTTGCTCAAGGGGACCTCAGCAGAACTCAGGAAGTGACCTGGCACCTCTCCAGCTACCAGACCAACTTCTAAATTTTGGTCTGCATTGGGTGACGAACCGGCGACCCTCCAGTTCCCAACCAAAATCCTTCCAGACTGAGGTAACGCCCCCCAAACCTCACTGACTTTTTAAGACTTCTTAAGGATCTGCAGGAAACCCTGAAACATTTTTCTCATCGAGACTAAAAGATCATTCTGCTTTATTATAATTCTGTTGTTGTAGTTCTGTTCCCACTAGAGAACTGTTCCAGAAGAAAACGACTCCAGTAACGGATGATGAATGTGACAGATTCATAGAGAAAGCATGGACACACACACACACACACACACACACACACACACACACACACACACACACACACACACACACACACACACACACACACACACACACACACACACACACACACACACACACACACACACACACACACACACACACACACACACACACACACACACACACACAGTGAAAGCTGAGCTGGGCTCAGTGACAAAGTGAGAGAGAGCACTTAACTGAACTGTCTCATCCAAGAAAACACACAAACACACACACACACACACACACACACACACACACACACACACACACACACACACACACACACACACACACACACACACACACACACACACACACACACACACACACACACACACACACACACACACACACACACACACACACTAATGCAATACAAGCTCTCCATCCAACACCCAGAGGAAACTGGACCGCTGTCTTTCTCGTCTCACTCTGACCTAATGGTCATTTGATTACATCAGAGCAGCGAGCCAGCGAGTACAACCTCAGCAGCACAAACTCTGAATACTCAAGCTGAATTATTGTAAGTACTTACAATTGTGTCCTATGTCTACTGTATCCTACATTTTATTAACCGTTTTAATAATGATGTTGACAAAGACTGCTTGATCTTGCCTCCATAACATGAGGAAAATATGTTCAATATTTGAATAAACGTCCAGCCACTACCAAATTAAATACTCGGCCCTTTTTTAAATGTTAACGTCGGTTCTGGATAGCTGTTCTTAAATCTGTCCACTCGCTCTTCTTTATGCATGTCGAGCAGATTTCATCTCAGACTCTTCTCTGTTCAGTGACTGACTGCTGCGGAGCTAACGCTAGCTAGCAAGTATTGTGCAGGTTCCAGATTTTAAAAGGGGAAGACATCCCTGCTCATAAAACGATTCATCGAACAGTACCACACACACACACACACACACACACACACACACACACACACACATACAGACTCGAACAATCAGGCCTTTGTGTCTCTTCAAGAGTTAATAATAAACGGTGAACTGAGAGCAAACAGGTCATCAGGCTTTTGAAGCTCCACAGATGCGTAGGTGGGAAATGTCACAGTGTGGCACAGGATGTAAGGAACATTGTGTGTGTGTGTGTGTGTGTGTGTGTGTGTGTGTGTGTGTGTGTGTGTGTGTGTGTGTGTGTGTGTGTGTGTGTGTTAGTGCAGGGACATCTATGGTTCAGCAGCAGGCGGCCGATCACAGGTCAGGGAGGTGTGGGCACAAATTAAGGTCAAGAATGACACAGAGCACTTCCACCATCAATGCATGAGAAATAAGATCGTACCGAAGTTTGACAGTCCAAGTGAACGCTGAAATAAATCCATGGAGAGGATTCAAACACACACGACCCAAAAGGATGTGATCCACCCTGGTATGGTGCAGGATGGGTCATGAGTTATGACTATTCAAATGGTCATTAATATGGAAAAAAGTATTCAAATGGCTGTAACACATTTGAAAGCTGACTGCTAACCGACAATTACAAAAGAAGAAGAAAGCATCAGGGTCACGTGACAGAAAAACAGCTGTGGCACTTTGAGATTTGCAGAGACGTCGACAGTTCTGTGTTAAAAACACTCAACAGAAAGTTTAAGAAAATTAGTTCAAGTGTAACTTGACATGGAAAAACTAGGATAACATAAGTCTTTAACAACTATACATTTGAGAGCCAGGCATCCAGCAGAAGATGCATCCACAGAACAATCAGAGGCAAGCTTCATCACTGCACAAAGTTTGATGTTTGATTTGAGCAGCTACGTGAAGTATGAAGCCTGATACATACAGAGTAATGGTGTATGATAGAGTAATCCTAACAGCAAGAGAAATGATTCATGTCTGTGTATTATATATTGTAAATGCAATTGTTTTTTTTGACATTTAAAATAAAACTCACATCGATGTGATTAAGTAAACAGTTCTGCGAGTGTTTGCTAGCGTGGATCAAATAACGGTCGAATAGATGCCAGTGAATATCAGGAAGTATTTTTATCTATTTCCCATCCCTAGCATGAATCGAACACTGAAGAGTAGCTGTAGACACTTTAAAGTCTGATGAATCACACAGTCATCACTCAGACTGCAGCAGATGAAACCCGAGACTTTTTTTTGTGTGAAATCCTTTCTTTTATAAGTTTGCAATGAGCAGAGTGATCTTGCAAACTACCTGAAAAGCCACGTGTTGGAAGCAGATGGTTTGGCATCTTCTTGCACATCGAGCCACAGGAAACGTGGCCCTTTGGCAATTTAATGTCAAGCCTATGTAACATGCAAACTGATTCATTCATATAATCTTACAATGACGGGCTGGAAGCTGCATCACCTGCTCTATCTGAACTGTCATGGTCCCTTTATTCTGATTCTAAAATGCTCCATAAATATTCTCGTCTCTGCAGGGGAAGGTGTATAGCATGACACATTCAAATGAGAAGAGGCTCACCTGTGTGGATTTATCTTTCATACAAGATGGGTAGTGCACATGGGGGTCACGAGGCCACTGCCCGGTGAGGTAGGGCCCTGCGATAGTGCCCAGGGAGGAAGTCCGCCAAATGGCCCCCGAGCTCCGCACCTGCTGGGGTTTTGTCCTTTCAACTGCACAGATTTAAAAAAAAAGAAGAAGAAAGACACAGGGCAACATTAGCTTAATGGAACAGAAACACCAGCAGTGAGTCGTGAGAAGAATCACCTGAATATATGCGCTAACTCTACGCAGCTTTTAGCATCTCTAAAATCACTGTCTGGGTTTGTTTTGTGTTCATTCAGTCAAAAGCAGACCAACAGCAGACCCCTAACATCAGCTGGTGAGTAGAACTGAAGATTTGCTGCACTCAGCGGAGTGATATTTCCAGGACGAGCTGTATGTGCGAATGCAAACAGGCAAGTTTTTCCACTCGGACTTCTCCCGGAGTTTCTCCGTCCAGACCCCTAGTATTTTTTCTGCAGAAAGTCCGAGTGAGCAGCAGGACATTCTCCGGAGAATTCACCTTGAGCCAATGGGCGTGACATTTCTATACTGTGACTGCTGCACGGTGCATAGAGTGTATGCATTAGACCCCTACAATCTCCATGCACGTAATTAAACGGCTGCATTATGTCTTACCTCGGGAGACCCCCCCCCCGCCTCTCTGACAGGGATAGTCTCCCACTGTGAGGAGCACATGTGAACGGCTAGGTCCGGAGAATCTCCTGAAATTATCTAGATATTTTCAGGACTGCATATGTGAAAACGGGTTTATGTATGTTTATTATGGCCACCAGCATCATTGGGCTTTTTAACATTTTTAACCTCACCTTCTTTACTGGTGACTAAGGTTTTCTCTTTTTGGCTGACCTGACGACTCACTGTGATATATTTTATCAGCTATAACTAGCTGAATGACACAGCTATCTTGTTCAATATGATAATGAAAACCAGCAACTGAATGTGATCATTTAAAGTTCTGACAACTGAGCTGGAAAAATGAACAGACTTTTTTAGCTCCAACGATTTCCAGATACGTTTATCATAATAAATCAGAGTGAAGTTCCAGTGACGGACGGAAACATCATCCATGGAAACACATTTTATAAGCACAACATGGTCACGCACATGGGGTTTAGGACAACAGACCTCATGCACCATCCCATGTGTACTCTCACACGATGCCTGATCCAGCCAATGTTCCAGTTGTAATCTGGTGTCCTCCTGGTTTCTGGTCCAACATTAGAGAATCCTATTAAACCAGGTAAGGGGGCCAGGTCACTTACTATAAATCCATAGGATTACAAGTACACTCCAGGGACTAAATAAGTCTTGGCCATGACCCTTCAAGTGTTTTAAGAAGCTCAACGAAGTACCAAAGAATTGCACCAGAGGAAGGATATGCTCTTCTCTCACGCAGTCTTTCTTCTGTCACTATTGCTCCATTTACAAAGACTTTTCTAGACCAGCACTTACGCAGATCTACTGAAAAGTATCATGCACAGAAAACTCTGTGTTTAGTTTGTAAAAGTCTGGAATTACGGTGTCTTTAAAATAGCAGCTTTTTATGATTTGAATCTTTAATGAGGATCTCTCAGTGCAGCAAAGCCTGATATCGTCCTCGTCCTGTGGACTCATAGTGCTGCTGGCAGGCAGTTAATCCCTTTCACCTTGTAACCGAGCTGTAAATCATCCCTGATTACACAGGCTGTACTTACACATTTGTGGTTAGGGCACACCGGCATAAGGTCAGGTACACATTTACTAAGATACTGGCTAGCTAAACAGCTTCCCTCTCTGACATTAGGATATTTTTATATTGGGAACCATGTAGGAGAAAATAGTTTATCATTTATTTATATAATGCCATGGTTTGATAGCCTTGTCGTGATATATAAGTGATAGTATTATTTATAATAAAAATAAAAGAGGTCCAAGAATAGACCCTTGCGGGACACCTTAACATTTAATTTAATACACGCCCTCTTACGATAACTACTTTTGTCATCAAATTGTCCTTGAAATTATTTGGATAACTAATGTTCTTCTGGACATAAATACAAAAAAAAATCATCACAAGCTCTGAACACCAGCTCACTAGAACTGCTAAAGAAAACCAAAACACAGAAAACAAACGAACAAAAATAAAACCACCATACCCAGAGCAGAACCGATAAGCTCCAGCACACAGGTAGAGAAAAGTTTATTCTAGTGTCATGAAATGTTGACAACAAACAAAATGAGACATAATCAAGGTATCATGACAGGCCTTTTTGATAAAATACTAGACAATGATTGTCCTATAGCTGTATTAAATCCTTGCTTAAAAGCACAACAGTGCAGTGCTTTATCATGGTCTAAATCCAAGCCCATTTGCCTCTATAAAGGACTCACAACTTAACTAGGGTCTAAACAAAGTTATGTAATCAGGAAAGCTTTTAACATAGAGCCTATATATAGCAGGACAATCTGAGTAGCACGCTGTACATTTGGACATACAGTGTTAGTTTAAAAGCACTGTTGATGATGCTGCAGCTGAAAGCGCACTAAGGAGAAGCAGAAGTTATACCTATTGTAAATATCAGGAATATATTGATAATTGTTGGTCCAACATTACCCCAAAAAAAAGGCAGAAACATGTGTAGATATTTTGCTTACCCAGCTTCTTCTGTATTTCAAAACCTGTCTATTTAAACCAGCCAGATCATAAACGTTAGACTTTGGGATGCACAGTAAAGTAATAAAAATGAACTGCACACAAAACCTCAAATCATTTACAAGGTTTCTTGAATGGTTGTGACCCTGCTGGCTCAGATCAATGACTAAAACTGAAACAAAAACTACTTCCTGACATGATGTGTGGTTACATAACCTCAGAGAGTGATCAGAGTTACACTACGCAGCTGCAGCTTTCATCACAACACTGACGAAAAACAGACACTCCTGATTTGTGCAAGACATTTCATCAGGAGCTTAAGGAGTTTTTGACATGTCGAGTAAATCGCCTCTTATAGACACACTTTTATTCTTTGAAAGTAGAGATTAAAAGTGTGTGAGACATTAGTTATTCATCTCTGTTTTCACCACTTAAACTTTTATGTTTTTGCCCAGTTTTTATTGCTTTTTGTAGAGATTATACTTTTCTGGCATAGTCACTGCATGATTCCGCTTGGCACACCAAACCACCAGCAATTTGCATTCTAAACTACACATTTTAGGCATGAATTAAATGCATGTTTTCCCTCTTTGCATGTTGCTAGTTTTTAATTGACAGAAAATATCTGAACGTAAATGATAAGTGTCAGAGTTCAACCCAAAAAGTACTAAAACTTCAAACCAAAAAGTCGTTTATATCTGGAGTTTTGTCATTACTGATTGGGAAAAACACAATTAGAATTTGACACTTCATTTTCTATCATCCTTGGTTGTAATAAGGAGGTAGATACACTATTTTCACACAGAGATTATTTTCTTCTTTGGAGTCAATCTCAGGTTTGTAGCTGATATGTTGTTGAAATTTTAAAATTCAAGGTACAAAGCATATTTCAAAAACTAATTAAGAAGACATGATGATAAGTTTTTGCCCTGCACCTACGTGATAAAAACTAAACATATTTCAACTCAGTGAATCATAACTGATAAGCAAATGTCAACAAATGTCATAACAAAGAGCTACTGTTTATACCGCTATAAAAGCATCGCTATTGTAAGAAGACTTCCAGGTAAACGTAAGACTGACAACTGAATCTACACTTGACATCGCAACTACGAAAAAAACAAACAAGAAAAGTTGATGAATCATATCTCACCCATATCTTGGCCTGTACAATGGTGGTTAGTAAAGAGAGTCACACTCCCTCCTTTTGCCACATCCTACCTGTGTGAGGTCGGTTTTTTCTTCAGTTGCCTCATTCAGGACAAAAAAAGGTGGCCATTGAAAATGAACTAAAAGTGGCAGTGTGACAGCTGAACCTGTAGCACAAAACAAGCCCAAATCAGTCTTTCAAATTATTGCAGGACTGATTAATTCATTATTTTAAAGGAGTTGTTTATCTTCACAGGGTCAGGTTTTAAAAAACATATTTAAAGCTGTTCCTGTTGTTACTTCTTAAAATATGTGGAAGTTTCATGTTGCAGTTTGATTTTTAATTGCTTCCTCAGATGAAAATATTTTCAGAAAAAGTTTGGTAACCATTGGTCAACGAGTAGCTGACTGGTTTAAGAAAAATTGCAAATACCTGCACACAGACTTGTACACTTTGGGCACAGACTTGTAAACTGTTGGCACAGATTTTATTTTATTTTGGCTTACGTGAGGTTTTGCAGTGCTAGTACAAAATTCTGATGAATCAGGAAGCAGTGACTTAATAACCATGTGTCAGATGATAAAATTCTCTTTTTTTAAAAACACCTGCCATGTCAGGGTAACAGTAGGCAAAAGTTCAGCCAAAATCAATACCTGTTTGGTGGTAGGTCCAAGGCAGACACCAAATATTGGGTAATTTCTGTTTTAATTATGGGAGAATTGCAAGAAATCTGCACACTGTCGAAATTGCACAAATACATTGACAACGTGTCAGTAACGCTGCCAATGTGTTTGTGCAATTTAGACCAGTGTGTTCTAACCATTTTTCTTGAAGCCTCCCCCTAATTGTATCTAAAAAGTCTTAACATGGGCCTGATTATGATGCAACATCCGTAGATAAAAGGAGAATCTGTTTGAAAGGAGTTCTAACTTTTGATTTTGAGTTGCATTAGAACGATAAATGACTTGATTTGACTTTTACATCAGAGAGTTAAAAGTTCATTTAAGGGGGGTTGAAGGCAAACCTGCTACATTTATCAAATTACTAGTTTCCACATACTGAAGCAACAAGTACCTCGAGGATTGTCAGAAAGGTTGAGCAAGTACTAAACATGGAACACGTCCATCTGCTGACTAGTTCTGACCATCTGTCATTGTGACATGTACTCATTGTTGTAACCCTACAGTCACATTTGTGGTTACAGGTCACACTGGGATCAGAACCAAACAAGCACGAGGACAAAGACATCCATAGATAACTCTGCCATCATACAAACTTCTTTCTCTAAACTTATCAGAACAGAAACACACTCTGTCGTAGGTTAGCTGTCGAATGAAATGTGAATTCTGTCACTTTGCAGATGATAGTGTGTTCTTTATGTCCAATAGGGTTCCAACGATACGGTGTTATCCTGATACTTGAGACGCGATTCGATATTATTGCGGTTCTAAACATTTTGCAATATGCTGAGAATTGCGATACAATATTGCCATGGTGATGTGTTTGTGGTGTTTTATTCTGGATTTGGTGTTATTTGTGTGTTTTTCCTCTCCTATTTCTGTTTTCTCTCTGGCCGTGTGTGTGTGTGTGTGTGTGTGTGTGTGTGTGTGTGTGTGTGTGTGTGTGTGTGTGTGTGTGTGTGTGTGTGTGTGTGTGTGTGTGTGTGTGCGCAGTGGAGGGCGAGGCAGAGCTGAGCTGGGTCTCTGTAACCAGGAGCACCTGGTTCTCGTTAGGTCGTCACTCCTGCCATAAAGACACCACTCCTGTGCCAGATTATCCCTTTGCAGTTGGTACACAGTCTCTCACTACTAGCGTTACCGTTGTAAAGTTGTTGGAGTGATTTTTGTTCACATGTTTCAATCGTGGTCTGACCTATTTTGTCTTGTGTGCAGCCTGCCTGTGAGCCTCACCGCCTCACCGAGTTCCTGTGGTTTCGTTTGGCCTTGCTGCCTGAATAATTTTTGCCACAACCTGCCTTAAACCTTTTTTTTTTACAACAATATACATTAAACACCTTAAAGACTGACTTTGTGTCTGTTTCTGCATCCTGGAGTCCAAACTCTAAAACTCTAACATAACACAATAAATCACATTGTGTTCACAAAATAAAACTAAATCAATAACTGTCTTGTCAAGTAAGAAAACATTCTCAGTCTATTCATCTCACTTCACTCTTTTTATTTCTGTCCAATGGGAGTAAAGCCCACAGACTGAGTGATCGACACTGTGATTAAAGTCAAACTCTGTCTGATGCTGCATGCTCCTCACAACCTGAACTCTTGGTATTTCAGTCTAATCCAACTGAACTGGACATAGGACTGGGTGATAAAACGATAACGATAATTATTGCCATGTCATTTTTTCTCTCAATAAAAATATGAAAAATGTTCAATAAAAGTTCAATAAATTAAACCTGTAATAACAACCCCCAAACACTGGGAAAGGCGGGGGCGCAACTTAAACGGTAGTTGCCACCCGACATTAAAGACGATATAATATCACAACGCAAAATATCGTAATACTTTGCAGTATCCATCCCCCCCCCCGCCACCTCTAATGTCCAATATTTAAAAATGCTTTTAAAAAGTGTGATATAGCCATGCTTAAAGAATCACATCATTAACTGCTGCATTGTGATTCATATCATATTGACAGATTCTAGTCTCAACCCTAGAGTCCTGAGTCTTATTTGTTTTTGTATCACAGCCAACAGGATCTTTGTCTTCTAAACTTGAACTGGGATAAAATGAGCTTTAAAACATGCAAAGACACACAACACTGTTTGTGGAGGCGTACAAAGTTTCCACAGCTGCCAGTATGTGTTACGAAAGTCTTGGCTAATGCTGCTTAATTCATCGTTATCTTCATGTGAGGATTTACAATAAACACATTTCAAACGTCAGAATTTTTTGTAACAAGTAAGAACAATTGTTTTGCAGAAACAAGCAATGCTTTCTCACTCAGCATGTGTACATTTAGCATGCGTGTAGAATGGAGGCATGAGTGTAATGTTCATGCTTTCACACCATGCTGATGCAGTGAGATGAAGCTAAAGCTAGCTGTCAGCTAGCCTCATTTATTGGTGCTAATTTAGTGGCTTTTGGATTCAGGAGGAACACATTACAAAGACAGACCTGAAGTCACTAATGATCACCAAAATATCTCAACTAAAAAATGATTTTGTGATGAAAATAGTGATCTGAACATGGCAGATTGATTATTATCTCAATGTCTGAAAGAAAACTTTGAACTCATGTGTTTTTAGCCTTTGGATGTACGAGAGTGAATTCATTAAATGGCTATAGGGATGCACCGATGCATCGATTTCGACGATGCATTGGCCGATATCGGCAAATAATGAATGTCATGAAATGATGTCAGTAGCCGATGTTTGTTGTGCTCAAATCAATTTAATGCTTTCATCCAGTACACCAACTACTGATTCAGAGAATCGTTTTTTTCATTGTCAAAACACGAGAAGAAATAGTGGGATTGTGAGTCTTACACCAAAAGAAACCATAACTAGGGATGTAATGGTTCACTCAACTCATGATACGATACTGGGTTCATGATACGATACTGGGTTCATGATACGACTCCCTCATGATTTATTTTACAAAATGAGACTGAAGACAAATTACGAGATTACTGAAAAAGATTCCTTTAATTTTTTTTCACGAAAACAACAATGCACCTCGTAATCTCTTTGGCTCTTGCGCTCATTTGGGCGAGCGAGGCTGCAAAACCCGCTTGTTGGCATGGTTTTGCCTCTGCAGCTGCCATGACAACGCCTGCTTGTTACAACCAACCGCCTCGGCTCTACAGCTGCTGACGCTCACGATAATTACTGCGTTTCATTTTCCAGAGTACCGATGTGAACCTTGACACCTTTGAACGGATTTTTAACTGCCTCACGATTAATCTTTACTTCCCTAGTCATGACACAAACATCGGTATTGGCATCGGCCCTGATTTTCCCCAATCGGTGCATCTCTAGTCCTATGGTGTTATTGTAAGTGGATTGCGGAACCTTGAATTTAATTTAATCATAAAATATTCAGGCAGACATTGCATAGTTACATTATTTATGTTAAAACAATTATTCTATCTATCTATAAGTAAGTGATGACCGTAGCTTCCTTCTGGAGGTTTCTAGCCGCTGTCATTGTTAAGCAAAGGTCATCTTTAGTTGTAGTTGGCAGGGGTCCATGCTCAGTGCCACCCTGATCCAAATATCCTGAACACACCACTGTTACCGTCATGATGCCTCAGAGTGTAAATACTCAAAGTAAAGAGCATGTGAAAGCATGTTATATCTTACTCTAGAGGCGCTCTTCACAAAAGTATGCAGTAAACATGTAGTAACCAGGACACATGCTGAATGTTTGCAGCATTGTGCAAATGCCATACATAATTTAGTGTATTTGAAAGATAATTAAATTCCTGTTGCTGACATGTCTTCTGGTCTGATAATGTGTTCCAAGTAGTATTTCTGCATGCATGCATGTAGTTACAGAGGCTGGCCTGCTTGCCCAGAGGGCTCTGTTTATGTCTCACTGACTGCTAGGCCCCAATGTTGCCATAGAAGCCAAAGAGAGCTACCAGCTGACGACATGTTGTTGTTTTTTTTCCCTTTTCAATGACGGTAAACAACCCCAATGCAACGAATTAATAAATAAGCTTTTAATTTTGATTACATATTCTGAAAATCTGGCTAATCATCCGTATCATGTAGCACAGTGAAGCCCTGTTTATCCTCGACAGAGTAGCTGCATCATCACTACACAGGCATCCATGTCCTGACATATTCACCCTCATCATAACAAGGATAACATCTGTGTGATGCATTTACGACTGCATGAGCTAATATCAAAATATTTCCATTAAGTCACCATTTTTAAAAGGCAAGACACTGAAATATAAAACACAAAAATAGCCCAATATGTGCTGTGCTGGACAATATATACTGCTAATATGATGCAAAGTGGAGCTAGGCTGCATGACATTTTGTGGAAAAATGGCAATAATATGCCTCTTCACGGTGTTTTTATTGAGAGGCATCAGCTCCCTTATGTATTATGACCCAATTAGCAGGCTAGCCATCTAGCCTAGCACCTTGGAAGCTAGTTCCGTCGTAGTTACAGAGAACGGCTGGCTACGTTGAACCTGCTACGGAAAACCTGCAATTTAAGGTAGTTTGGCTTTCTGGACAAGTTTACTGAGATTTAAACATCTTGCACCTCTCCTCTGAATAATGACAGCCAGCTTAAAAATTCGGCGTTATTATACTTTTATAAACTGCTCTCTTTTGAATATAAATCTAATCTATTCGCCACTTACTCGCGGCTCTAATCAAAACAACGTGGCGCCTGATGACGACTTGTGGGAACACTTCTAAAATTGGAGATTTTAATCTAATGTCATGTTTGATGGTGAATCACACGTACGCCGAATTTAGTAGCAGCACGTACTGGCTCGAAAAAACTTCTAATCTAGTTTGTGAGTGCATGTTTTGTGTTCATGGGTCGCCAAATTCACTCACTTGTCGGATTTGTTAAGCTGGTTTTGCGCGACGCACGAAGGGTTAGCACCGAGCTATCTGCACGAAGATGGGGTGCATCAAAGAGGAAATGCATTTACTTTAAAATAAATAAATAAATAAATAAAAAAAATAAAAAAAAGACAGGATTACCTTTGGGGGGAGGCGAGAGGGGAGAGCGTTCAGGTGAGCTCCTGCTGTCCGGCGGTGACAGTCTCTGCTTGGGGACCAGCCTGCCGTCCGAGGAGCCGCTTCCACTCGGGTTGGCGGGACTGGAGCAACGGGACGTCGTCGGTCCTCCTGAGTTGCTCCCGGCTGCTGCTGAGAAGGAGGAGGAGGAGGAAACGGAGCGGGTTGGGCTGTGCTGATTTCCACGCAAAAGCTGGTACGGCACCGTGGCGCGGATAGGATGTAACCGGACCGCGGTGCTGCTGCTGCTGCAGGAGGCTGGCGGGGATCCGCTGTGTGTTACCCGCTGCAGGGATGACGAGCTGGCTTCTGCTGTTGATGCTGACATAACGTCCAGCTTATAAAGTTTGTTTATGTAACAACACGAGTGGTAAAAGTGCAACGTCGTGTTATTACGCTCATTACGGCACTTTACAGAATTGTAAATGCGCAAACGACCCGCGCGTAATCCATTTTTTTTTTTTTTTAACAAACTTTCTCAAAGTTACTGAAGTTTTTTTCACTCTCCACTTGTTTTCACATTTCCGAGTAGACAAACAGCACTTAATAAACGACTAAACTACAACAACCCCCCCCCCCCCAAATAAAGTCGTTATTACCGCGTTACTTTGATAATTTGGTCACTTCTGTCTTTCTCGCACCTCAGTCCCCTGCCTCTATTTCCAAAACAACAGCTGTCAATTTAAAACTACAGTCAGAGGGAGGTCGGACGATGGGTTGGACCAAATCACTAAGACTGCTCTCTGATTGGTTCTAGACTACTTCCGGGATCTGTCCATGGGGCTGTCTATTGGGTGTAAGGGAGCTTTAACCAATGCTAATAAGCTGCAGGTTGGCCTGATTTGATGGACTTATGCTTGGTAATTAAACTGTGTGCATACATTAGATTAAACAATAGGCAGGTGTATATGTTCAAAAACACCGTACAAGTGGATTTTTCATAATATGTCCCCTTTAATGTGATCATAAGCATGGACAAATCATTGAGATACAGTAACAAGTTCAACAACATCCTAAAAATGTGTTTGCTACATAAGTCGCAGTCCAAAGTCACAACCAAAGGAACACATTATCAGCATCAACAGGTACAGTACAAACTTTACAGAGAGAATTAGAGAGCAGATTAAACTACAGAAAATAATAAGACGTCTCAGCATTTCCCTCGAAAAAAAAAATCACTGCATGTACGTTTTGTTGACAGTCTGTAAAGGCACGGCAGGTTTGAAGAGAACACATTTGATCAGGTAGAAATAAATCAAAAGGTCCAATAGGGGGTTTTGTAAATTCTTTGCAATGACTCTGTGGGAATAAATACAACTCAAACCCCAATGCACACATCGACCCAAACAAGGGCGAAAGTTGAAAAATCCATGTGTGCGATGAAAACCCAGACGGACCAGCAGAAAACAGAGACAGAATAAATAACACAAGCGAATGAAGATGGGCAAAAACAATTCAGCTGGATTGAAATGATCGAAGGTCGAGGAACATTTACACCTGCTGAAAACGGGCAGTAATAGCAGATGGCCTATATAAGCATAATTACTTTTTTATTTCATTATTACATAATGGCTGTTTTTGTAGTGGTAGTGTAAAAATAGAACTATTACCTACTCAATAACATCCTTAATATTCTCCACAGGGTGCAGTTTGTACATCAATATTTATCTTTCAATAGATCCAACACGAGTTAGAACTATCTGTGCAACAACTCGACAGAAAACTTGGATTTGGCTCGGCAGATGAATTCTCGTTCAAACACTCGGCCTCGATGATAAGTTATTGCTTCATTATTTCACCGCCACGTTTCTCAAAAAGACCTGAAAACCCATCCTTCTTTGGTACCGTTTGAAATGAAACAACTTTCTAAAAGTAGAAGACGTAAGGACTTCGGAGGGCTTTGCAAAGACGTGACAAACATCGTTCAGGGATAGATTGCATTTCTGTTAAACTGAGGGCTTGTTTTGTTTTTGGGGCGATTGTTGGGAACAAGTTCATAGCTGAGATCTGGCAAATTTGAGGCATCAAAAAAAAAAAAAAAAGCCACAAGAGGAAAAACAAGCTGTGTAACCCAGACGTGCAGACTACGTTTTTACATCTTCAAAGTCCAAATGTGTTCACACCTGACTGTGTACTTATTATTGCAATCGGTTAAATATAAAGACGCAGAATATTGGCACCTAAGAGAGTCAATTCTTACTAATATACCAACCCAAGCCCGAGGCTTTACGCAACAAAATGGCCCAGAACATGAAACTTTGTCTGGACTTGTTGGATTTGGTGCAGGAAGCAGAATTATAGTCATCAGAGGAACTTATTGTGATTAAAGTTACTGAAGGAGCTACATCCTCTTTTTACACAGTCTATGATTGTAAACCACCCACAACAGTTTATAGACCAACTCCTTAGTTAAACTTTGACCCAACTCACTTTCCGTAGTTGGTTGTTCTATAGTAACAAGGGTAAAGAGCTGGGACATTTGAGTTTTAAAACCATAAACAAGGCCTGTTCATTTTCTACTTTACCCTTACAACATTTTTGGGACGATGTTCCCATTTCTTACTAAGTGATGAGTTCGATTTTTTTTTAATATCTGACTGATCTAAAGCTTGCTGCTAACTTTGTTTACATTAAGAGAAACAACATGGGAATGAAGTTAACTACGAATATAAAGTCAAGCTCAGATCTACAAGACCAACAGATAGAAAAGCATCTTGCTCCCATTTGTCCCTTCCAGCGTTATTAGATTTCCTTTCCTCTAAAGATGGACAAGAACATGACAGCTTAAATTTGTTTGTAATTACAGAAATTATTTGTTTTATATCATTTGGAAAACCTTTAAGTTGACCTTAATGCTACAGAATCACATTTTCTTGTTCCACTTATTGTGGAGTGTCCAGAAAAACCAACAATCTGCCACCGGGTGTAACTCCTATAACCATACCCTGATGTTTAAATTTGAAAAGACTAGACGTTATGCAGCACAGAGTTTTCTAAAGTGAAGTCGTACTGAAAACTAGCCAGGCTGTAGTTTATGTCCCGGGACATCAGCACGTCAGGGATCAGGGGGAATCCAGCCTGCATTGCCAGGACGTGAGGAGCCAGAGTGAAGGGGATGTCCCCGAGGAGGTCAGGGTGAGTCGGAGCAGCTTCCACCGCTGCGCTTCCTGCTGCGGGAGCCGAGACGGGTGAAGCTGCAGGGAGGTTTGCGGCCTGAGCTGGATATGGACAGTAAGACTGTGAGGGGAAGGAGAAACAAATTCAGTGTTAGTGAACAGAGGAAGAAGCAGAAAGGGGGAAGTTCACGATGACACTGTTACTTTGTGCTTACACAAACAATACATGACAAAAACATATCTTTGTAAAGATAGTATCAGTGCTGGAAATAAGAACATAACGAGAGTGGGGAGGTTTTATTTCTCATTTTTGCATTCGGCGATGCTGTGGCTCAGTTGGTAGAGTCGATCGTCTCTCAACTAGAAGGGTTCAATCCCCACCTCCTGCAGCCACATGTCCGATGTGTCCTTGGGCAAGACACTTAACCCCAAGATGCTCCCCCTGCTTCATCTGCGTCGTATGAATGTGTATGAATGGAATAATTAATACTGATGGACACTTTACTCAGCAGCCTCTACCATCAGCGTGTGAATGTGTCGGTGTGACATGCGGGGTAAAAAAAACGCTTTGAGTAGTCAGAAGACTAGAAAAGTACGATACAAGCTCAAGTCCATTTAGCATTTAGAGAATAAGTCAAACTGTCCTGTCTCGTCCCTGTAACGCCCCTGTTACGACCTCTGAAGATGGTACAGAGGTGGGAACACTTAATCCCCTCATTACGCCTCCATGACGTTCACAGTAAAGGCGAGGCGTCAAAGGGGCGTAAATATCACACCTTGAACGGGCAGGTCTGAATAGGGCTAAAGATGTGAACGTGCCGTTCCTAATTGGAGCGGATTTTGACAACAAAGCTTTAATATGGTTGTTAAATATGGTTATTATGGATATGATGAGACTGGGACAAAGAAGGAGCGGATGTGCTTCATCACATCAGGAGTAGAATCGTGTACTGTGCTTAAATATAAATAGTGAAATGTCAAAGCTGCACGAGCAGAGAAAATAAAAATAAAGGCCCAGTTTCATCAAACTGAAATCAGTTCATTTTTTATGAAACTGGAGCCATCTTTGGGTCCGCTCCTGTGACGCTGAACATCTTGACATTTCTGACCTTTGACTTTGAGGGAATTTATAAAACCCTGATGCTCCAAACGAGCAGAAACGCCCGGAGAGATGTTTTTCTTTTTCGTTTTAAAGATTCATTTTTATTTCATTTTAGAAGACAGGACAGTGAATAGAATCAGAAACGGGGGGGGAGAGAGAGAGAGAGAGAGAGAGAGAGAGAAGGTGGGGAACGACATGCTTGAAAGACAGGTCGGATTCGCACATGAGGCGCGTGCACCAACCGCTAGGCTAACGGCACCCCTGGAGAGCAAAACCATCCATCCTTCATTCAGTTACTTTATTTCTTGCTCTGTCTTGTTCAAAGTTCAGATTTGCTCTGCTGGAGGTAAACGAAAGCATCACATATCATCATAGATGTTATAGTTAGTCCTGACATTAGTCATGCTTTGTGTATCTTGAGCGCTCAGACACCGGCTTTCAGTTCTGTAACATCCTAAGGAAGGAAGCAGCAGAGGCGTAGTCCCCTCCATTACACTGACAGATATGCTGCTATAACTGGACGGTGTGCAGAGTTTACACATGCAGCCTGCAGCAGGGAGTTCATGAAGGTGACACAGAGAAGTTAAACTGAGGATGCTCTCATATTTTTAGCACTTGGAAGAGAGAATTATTGAGGGGCTGCTTGATGTGTTTTTGGAGGTGAGATTTGTACGTGCAACTCTTAAAAAGTTGTGACATATTAACCAGTTTTATTTTTGGTAGATCATGATGACAGTCTCTCTTGAGTATTTACCTCCTTCAGAGCAGTGCAGGCCGGGATCTAAAAATCTATCTAAAGTGGCAGATTCGAGACTTTGCTTTTGAACTTTTAAGCATGTAATTAACAGCAAATGTGACATTAAATGCCAAAGGGATGTAGTAACAGGAAATGGTTATTCCTCTGTAATTATGAGGCAGAGCTTTCCTTTGGGGCGGCAGCGTTAGGGAGGGTGGAGCGACACACGCCGAGCAACAGGTCCTGTTTTCTCACTGACTGTGTGACGTGTGGGAGCTCCACGATGCCATATGTAACACATGTATGCCCATATATTCACTCTGTTAGCTTTTAATTAAGGACATTTTTTTTGCATCTGTGAGATTTACAATGAGGTGTTTGTGTTAAGAATGAGAATCTACTGGCAAGCACAGCTCAGTTTTAAAGACAGCGGAGTGAATTATTAAATGTTGGAGGCACATAGTGGCACACAGACTCAGCCATCAGCACATGTTGACATCCCAGCAGGGCAGATTGTTGTGAATGAACCACAGAGCAGCTGGGATGTGAACAGAAACAGGTGTCACAGCTGAATCACTCGTGAAGGAAAAACAAGACTTCAAGACTCTGTCCT